GGTGGCGAGTTCCTTGGCCTTGGCCTTCTCCAGCTTGGCGATGCGGGCCACTGACTTGGGCCCCAGGACGTTGCCTCCCCAGTGGCGGCGGATCTGAAAGGAAGCAGTCATTGGTTAGTGATCTCCCCGGTCCAAGGGCCTGGACCTACCTACTGGGCACTTGACCTCTAGGTCAACGTAGTACTTAATTACAGCCACAGAAGCAGCTTACCTCATCGTATCTGTCGTTGTAATTGGTTCTGATGGCTTCTACCAACTTGGCCAGAGCGCCTTTATCTTCCCTAGAGGGGAAAAAGCAGGTAGAGGCTTTTGCTTCAAGCACAATCTAGGAAGCAGGGAGTTCTTAAAACACATGCTCTTGCCTCAGATAAAACGTGGCAACATTGTTTATTCAGGTGAAGAAATTCTTGAACATCACCGGCAGAGATCATCTACCCATCAGGTAAACGGCTTGCACCGAGGGGTTCTCAAAGTGTGGGGCAGGCCCCTACTTACGGGTTCACCTGCGTGAAGGCAACAGTGGTGCAGGTCTTCCGGTGGACGAGGCGGCCCAGCCTGGCCTTGCCCTTGATGATGCAGTAGGGAACACCCATCTTCCGACACAAAGCAGGCAGGAAGACCACCAGCTGCAAGACAAGGCGCCTTAACACAAAGAAGACCTCTGACCCCAAGTCACCAGTTCCCAGGCCCATCTGGCAGCCACTGCTCAGGGTTAAAAAGCTCTGTATTTGCACTTCACTTTCATTCAGGGAGGTAATGACATCACTGCAGAAGCCCCCTCAGCCCCCTCTAACAAGGGCCCAACCCACGGCACCTCTATGGGGTCCACGTCGTGTGCGATCACCACCAGCTGGGCCTTCTTGTTCTCCACCAGGGTGGTGACTGTGTTCACCCCTGCAACACAACACACGCAGTCCGTGTCAGCACCCGGCCTGGCCTGCCCTTAAGGTCACAGGTGCCCCGCTCAGCTGTGACTCAGTGTTAAAAAGCTCAAATCACCCCTCATGGCAATTTCAGGTGAACAAGGTCATCATAGCAACAGCTGGCCCACCATCTGGCCCCGTGGGGTGCGCCCACTCACCTGCACGGAGGACGGGGGGTCTCTTGGTGGGGATGTCTCCCTTGCCAGCAGCCTTCTTCTCAGCCCGGGCCATCAGCCTCTCTTTCTTCTCCTTCTTGGTCTCTGGTCGGTACTTGTGGGCCAGTTTCAGCAGCTGAGTAGCTGGGGAAAGTCTCCAGTTTAGGTGTGCTGTTGAATCCACCATGTGCCCGTGCATGCCCGGTCACCGTCCTGGTGGGCACCGCTGAGAACTGGTGTGTGCACGTCTCAGTGACGGAGGGAACACTCCTCTGTCCTGACCTAACACCATGGTGAGGTCCTCTACACACAGCCCACGATCTGCTCCCAGCACACACGGGATCTACCTGGTGCATGTGTGCATGAAGGTTCCTGGTATTCTAAGGACAACGGTAAAGCCATCCTGGTGCTCTCTGGGCACCAAGGAAGCGCAGGTCCAGTCCTGATCTGCACCCTGACTCGGGATGTGAGGTCAGCGGGGCACGGACCTCGGCCGGGCCTCCAGCACTCACCTGTCTGGCGGTCCAAGGCCTGGGTGAACTGGTTAATGGCGGGTGGCACCTTGAGCCGTTTGTACAGGATCGCCCTCTGCCGCTGCAGCCGGATGTAGCGGGGCCATTTGACGAAGCGGGTAAGGTCCCTTTTGGGTTGGATGTCCTGCCC